TGCATTGTCTTGTGAAGTTTGGACTTTGCGGCCTGTGTTTTTCCGACTCCGCAACGGAATAACTACCGAACATATGTGCGGGTCGGAGGGTGTGTCGTGAAACACGTGCACATCCCGAAAAGCGCGGGAATTCGCGGTTGGTGCGTGTAAACTTTTGTGCTCAGGCACCGCTCGCATGCTCGGGGCGCCGTGGATGTGATTTCGCGACGGGTCGGTTGCGCGCGCGGAATGGCTAATTGTTACTCCTATTCAAGAGTATTTGTGCGCTCTGAGATTGATTAGTGCTGAGGTGCGCGAAGGTGAAAGTGCTTCTCGCCCGGGCTCATGTGAACGGGCCTTTGGGCGAGTCGGCGCTCTTGCTTAGAGGTGCTCTATGGCCGGACGCGCCACGTGCTCGGCGGGCCACCGTGCATAAGAATGTTTCGTGATAGCTGACCAGTGGTCAGTGCGAGCTGTGCTGCACTTAGTGCATGGTAGAGTCCTAGATTATCAGAGAAGCGCGACCGGCTTATGGTAGTATCGCAAAAGTACTAGAAAATATTAAAAATGGCGTCGAATGGCCAATCATAAGTTTGATTTATTCGGCAGCCATTTATAATAGCGATAAATCAATCTTATGATTGGCCATTTGCGTGACCAATTAGGACTCGTAACACCGGTCGCGCTTCTCTGATAATCTAGGACTCTAGTGCATGGATGGTGCATGGCCCGGATTTGCCGAGTTGCGCGAAAGTGAACGCGTGGCGGCGCGCATTGCACATACAAGTAATGGCCGCGACGGGTGACTGTCGTGGCGCTCGGTGACGTTTGCATGGACTGCATGTATAGCGTATAGTGTCACTGCTTGCTTTGTGTGCCTTTGCAGTGCTGTGGGCCGGTGGCGGTCGGCCAGCTGTCCCTCCGTTTTTTGAGGGGCATTGCTGTCCTTGCGGGACGCCTGTTGGGCGTTTGGGGCCCGCGGTCTCCTCCCTTGCTTTAACTAGCTGGTGCGGACGTCCTTGGGGCCTGACGCTTTTTCTTACTCTCGCCTGCACGCGTCCTTACCCGCTGCTTTCGGCTGGATCCTTTTGGCAGGTTTCCTCTCTGCTCCGGGCATGGTGTGGAGTTTCTGCCTGCCGGCGACTGTGTGAGTGACGAGAGGTAGGAAATGTTATGTGCTGTCCTACCACGAGAAAGTATAAGTATATGCGTCGTGTGTGAGAAAGCATCTGAGGATGCGAACCTTTAGTGAAAGTTACTGGTCTCACCTCGTGCAGAGATAAATACTGACGGACTATTTCTTAAATTAGTTTTGCTGTCACTGAGATCTATGTACTTTGGCGCCTATGCGTCACTGACACATGCTGTAATACTATCTTTGGTCGAGCCTCGCGTGAGATACACCGGAGGATACTCTAAATCGTTTTTGATTAAATGTCGAGACAAATTATTAGTTGTACGGAACGCGAGGTGTGACTATGCTGGAAGTACCGAAACATAATTGCGAAGCGTATACCTTCCGCTGTACGGTGCAGTAAAGCGAGAGAAAAAGAAGGATCACGTGTTGTGTGTAAGACAAGAACACACGTTGCGGAGTGTTATATGCTGACGATAACATACTCATAGTTTTGTCTGTGCGGTGAAAGAGTCAGTCGGATTTACTCTAAGCTACATCGGTATTGCTTCCCTTATTAGAAATTCTGAGTGCGAGCGCGAGGGTGCTCCGGCGCCTATGTACTGCATGCGTGCAGTGACACAGCGTGTTTCGCGATAAAGTACAGAAGCTATTGAGATAAGTTTTAAAGATAGACAGTAAATTCAGACGATAAATTATTAAGTGATTACCGCTTCGCTTTTTGTGTGGCGCTCCGGGCGTCGCCTTTTCGACAGCGGAATTATTTGCCGAGGGGAGTGACAGGCCTGGCCGCCCTGTGGCGTGATGGATGCTGCGGGTTGTGCATTGCCGGAGCGTACCATAAGTGAACAAGCTTCCGTCCCTGCCTTGCTTTGACAGATTATACTGATCGCGGGTCTGGCTGGAGCGGAGTGCAGTGTCGGTGGTGTGCAGCCTTGCCTCGTGGTCATCGGCCGGTGGACTGAAGCGTCTGCCGGGGCCCATAAAAGCGGCCATTATCTGTAGAAATACATTAGCCTACCCATTCGCATAAGATTTTCAGGTGCCGGGGGCGGAGCACTGCAGAGAGCGAGGGATAGGTAAGAGCCGGCCCTCCTCTTCTGGCAGCCACGAGGGAGTAGCTGTCGCCGTAAAGGTCAGACTCCGTGTCGGCATTGTTACTTAAGAGTGGAGCGACGCACGTGGCATGAGCGTGCCGCCAATGTGACTTTTTAGTGCGAGAAAGTGTTGCATAGAAATACATACAATACATAACCTACGTAGTGTCATTGCATATTCTGACAGGTTGTAACTGAGTAAAAAGTGCTGCACTCATATAAGCGGTGCAGTGTATGCCGCGCGCTACTTGTGCACGAACGTTGTTAGAGATAGATGGGAGTTGAGTCTGATTTTCAGAAATCTGCCACGTGCTCGATACCGCTGGGTACTCAATGAGATATATAACGACGCTTGTCATATCATATTATATTGCGTTATGCTTTTCTGATTATTCTACATGAGAGTACTATTACTATTTTTACGAAACGTTTGATCTGGAGAGACATGTGTGGGGATTATGTTGAATCGTAATCGGGGGAGACAAAGTGTTACACTCTCTCAGTGTAGGGCACACGTGTGCTGAGTGCCTTATGGCACGAACGTGGTGGTCGATAGAGGAGACCCGCATTGAATTTGTAAATTCTTGCCACGTGCTTAGGGCTCGGGCATTAACAAGAAATAGACAGACGGTTCGGATTATTATAACCTACAATTCTTACGACTCTCTGATGCTACAAGCGTGGTGCTGTTTCTTGCGTTACGGTTAGCGTATAGGAGCATATTCTCGCCGCGGTAAACGGCGATCGGAGAGACCATCGTGTGACACCTATTAGTGTAGTGCTTACATGTGCCGAGTGCTGTTAAGGCACGAAAGTAGTAGTAGCCAGATAGAGCCCGCGTTGAGTTTATAATTTCTCGCCACGTGTTTTCGGGCATGGGCATGGCTTAAACTTAGACTCCAGGGAACGCGGTTGGTTCGTATTTCTCGCTGAGACATGTAGTGGATTAACTTTTGAGTTTTGCTGGATGCATATAATAATAATTCGTGTGCGGAAAAAACTTTATCGTTTGCATTGGTACATAAATAAGGCACTACTTTTCGAGAAACGTTTGCAATAAATTGTGACCGGAGGGACAAAGTGCTGCACTTTGACAGTGTAGTGCCCGCGTGTACTAGGTGCTTGCGGCACGAACGTGGCGGTCGATAGACGAGAACTGTATTAGGTTCGCGATCTCTCGCCACGTGCTTATGGGCACGGGCATTTGCGGTTATATCTCTATTGCGGTAAATTAAGTCAAGTTAAGACAAGAGGGTCTATCGTGCCGCACCTTCCAGGGTGGTGAATACTGGTGCCGAACATTCTTAAGGGGTAACACCACTGTAACGGCCCAAAAAATTGCACTTTTTCGACATTTTTTTTTAATGGAAGGAAATGAAATAAAGTATTAATACTCCGTGAAGTTAATAATCATATATTGAAGTACTTGTAAAAATTTTTTCATAAAATAATATTATAAAATGGCGGAATGGCAGCCATATTCCCGATGCTCCTTTAAAATAAAGGGGTCCGCGGCAAGCAGTGTAGCCGTTGGAAATTTGAACAGAGAACAAATAAAAAATACTCATGATCTTCAATGGTATATCTAGTACAATACGTATGG